CACACACACACACACACACACACACACACTATATATATATATATATATATATATACACGTATTTGTGTGTGTGTGTTTAGATTTATGAAGCCACATTTTTAATGTTTTTATATATAAATAATCACCTCTGGCGCCGAGCTCTTTGCTGCAACAGGTAGTCATAGAGTGTAATCATCCTATGAGTTGAGGCACATGTATTGTTCATGCCCTTCTCTGTTGGATTGTCGATCACATCTATTTATTGTGTGTCGTACTAGGCGTTGTCTCTCGTTTGCAGATGGACCGTATGTTGTGCACGTATATGCCTTACACATTATCTATGGGTAGGTTGTTTATAGCTCATGTGTCTGTTGCCAGAAGGTGGTTATAGGGTTAATCGGTGTCTCTTAAAATGTATTGTCACAGACAGCTACACCTTCCAAACTGTGGGGCACGAAGCGATAGATGCGATTGGACAAGCGATGGAGCTGCCGCTCTTTCGAGGTGATTTGATTGGTCGACCCGTGGCCACTGAGATGCACTACACCAAACCATTGGATGCCAGGGACGAGGTGGAGGATCTATATGATCTGCTCAGTGACGTCAAGGTGCTGTCCTTCGATAATATATACGACACAAATGTACTAAACACGGCTCAGTGATGTTGAAGTAATATATATATATATATAGCTACGCACGAATCCTTTTCGTGACCTACACCGTGGTTAAATGATTATTCTGTTCTCCTCTGCAGAGGCAAATGCCGTTGATTGAGGGGGTGTCTGTGGGGGCCATTCTGTCTGACTACCAGAGACTGCGAGTTGAATTGGTGTGTCAAAAGTTGGGGCTCAAATCATTAGCCTACATGTGGCATAGAGACCAGCACGACCTGTTGAGTGACATCATCGAGTCAGGCGTTACTGCGGTAGGTAATCTTCCGGGGTTGGCAGTGGGTCTGTGCACAGGGTGAATTCAAACGCATGGACACACGTGGCAGATACGAGAGTATACGAAATGAACTTACATAAACACACACACACACACACACCCAACCACACACACGCACACATATATATTTA